TAGAAGTAGTTTATTTATATATTCTAAAGAGGATTAATAATATTATTATTATTATTTAGAGGAAACTTATTAATATATCTAAACTAATATTAATCTTTATTTAGATCTATCTATTTATTAAAGAGGTTACTTAGCTAAGTATTTTATAGATTAATATTATTCCCTCTCTTAAATAAGTTAAAAAAAGAGGTAAAGTCTATTTTACTATTAAGTAATAATATAATATTATATTAAACTCTAGTAGTATAGTAATTAATATATAAATACTTTAAAAAAGTAACTAAGTAAGCATTTTAATTAGTATATAAGAAGTAATTAATTATAAACTTAATAATCCTATAAATATTAAGTATTAGAAGGAGGGTATATATAGATAACTTCTCTATATATATATTTACTTAGAGTATTAGAAATATAAGAATAGTTTAAGTAATAAGAAGTTTAATTAGTATTATATATTAAGCTAAAAGTACTATAAGATTAAATCTCACTATATAGAGAAGTAAGTAAAGACTTTTATAACTAGATAGACTAATATTACTAATATAAAACTACCTAAAGAACTACTTAGTGAGATTCTTTATAATTAGTTTATAGAGGATTAGAAATATTAAAGTAAGAGAAATAAGAATATTATTAAGGTTAATAATAATTAGGAGATAATAATAATAATAAAAGAGAAAGCTAAAAATATTATACTTCTATTATTAAGGTTAAGATCTAGCTTAACTAATACTAATAATAATACTATTATTAATATATATAGTAATATAAGAGTACTAAATTATTATCTTTAATATCCTAACCTATATATATAGCTACTACTATTAGTATTAGTACTAGTAGTATATTAGCTATATATAAATATCTTATAGTATTTATTACTAACTCTTCTACTATTAAACTTTTTAAATACTTATTAACTAAATATTATACTCTTAATTTATTTATCTTCACTAATAATATTAAATTTACTTTAAAAAGCTTTAAATTAAGTAGTTAGCTTTATTAAGTAGTTTATATCTATCTATAGTAAGTAATATAATATTAATAAAAAGTTTAAAAAGAAATTATAGAAACTATAATTAATAGATAGTAGTTTATAAGTAGTTTATAAGTTACTAAATATTTAGTTTACTAAATAAGGTTTTATTTAAGATTTTACTAAAGATATTAAGAACTTAATTAAATCTTTTATAGATAATAGTACCTATTATAAAGAGTAGTTTAATATTATCTCTAATATAATATCTCACTTTAAACTTTATTTAAATTATTAAGAATTAGAGGGAGATATTTATATAAAAATATATATTAGATTACTAAGAGGGATAATAGTAATACTAGTTAAAAACTCTATAGTATTAGTTTTAAATAAGTTAAAGTTATCCTAATATATTAATACTTTAGTATTATATTAATCTATTAAGTAAGAGATCTATAGTATACTAATTAAAGTTAGTTAATATAGTANAATACCTTAGTATTATATTAATCTATTAAGTAAGAGATCTATAATATACTAATTAAAGTTAGTTAATATAGTAAGTATATATAGAGCTATTTATTATTAAATATAGCTAACTTTATAAGTATTTTAGAACTTTTTAGTTTTATTTTATTACTATTACTATTAGTATTATAGATACTACTTATATAATTATAAANGATTAAATAAAATAAAGCTAAGTAAAGTAGTAAAGATAATTAGATTAAAATCTTAAGTAATATATTATTAATAGAGATATATTACTTAGAAGAGGATAAAGAAGAAGAGTAATATAATAAGAGTAATATAAAGTTTAACTATATATATAATTTTCTTATATAATATATTTAACTATAGAAAAGTCTACTTATAGCTATAGATTTAATACTACTACTATATATATATAAAAGTTATAGAATTACTATAATTTTAGATCTATAAATAAGATAATCTATTTTAATACTTTTTAGTTTAATATAATAGAAGTCTCTAACTATAGTTAAAATCTCTAACTATAGTGATATATTATTATTATAAATTATTACTATAGGTATTAATAATATATTTTAGCTACTATATAGGTAAAATTAATATATATATATAGCTATTAATAAAAATAATAA